CTGTTCCCTTCCAGGTTAATGATGGGGTTCATGAGTGTGACTGCCTTCCTGTCGATGTGGATCAGTAACACAGCAACCACTGCCATGATGGTCCCCATTGCCCAGGCCGTGTTAGACCAGCTCCACAAAGCAGAAAGCAGCAGCTTGGAGTATAGTCTGGACAAAGACCATGAGGAGCTGGAACTGCAGGAGAAGAGTACAGTGAAGACTGAAGATAAAGTCATCATTAATTCCCACGCCTTTGAGATACCACCTGAGAAACTCAACAGCACCAACATAGAGACACAGAACATCAAGCAAATGGATCATTCCAAATGTGACATGAATGGCACGGCTGAGAAATGTGAGTTTAATCCAATTTTAAATATTCGCTTCTGTTCTCGATATTCACACCACTCACTAAGCACCAGCAATTTGTTCAAGGGACAGGAAATTCAGAACATTATGACATTAAGTCCAACTTGTGTCAGCTCATTTTTAAAAAATTCACTCACGGGATGAGTGCGTTGCTGGCTAGGCAGCATTTATTGCCCATCCCTAATGGCCCAGAATGCAATTAAATGTCAACTACATTGCTGTGGGTCTGGAGTCATATGTAGGCCAGACCAGGTAAGGATGGCAGTTTCCTTGCCTAAAGGACACGAGTGAACCAGGTGGGTTTTGCCCCCAGCAATGGCTTCACAGCTACCATTAGATTCTTAATTCCAGTTTCTATTAAATTCAGATTCACCATCTACCATGGCAGGATTCAAACACTGGTCCCCAGAACACTGCCTTGGTCTCTGGACTAATAAAGCTTAGAGATAATACCACTAGGCCATCACATGCCCTGCTGAGCTCTGCTCTCTATCTGATAATGAGAGGGCAAGGTACAACAATGGATTTACAAGGAAGAAACCAGCCTTTAAGAGATAGCAGGAATCAGAGAGGATTGGGCAGTTTGGAGCTTTAATCTTGAGAAAAGGCTCACCTCAGAGATGATCGATTGAAAGTTATGAATGGATTGGATAAAGTGGATGCCAGGGGAATGTTTTCACTTGTCAGAGAATCTAAAACAAGAGGACATGAGTACAGACCGTCACAAATAAACCAATGGAGACTGTTTCTGTGGGGTGTGGTTAGAATGTGGACCTCACACGCCACAGGCTGGGTCTGGGGAGCAGCGTTTGGAAAGGAAACTGGATATATACATGAGAGGAAAGAGGAGAGGAAGGTTTTCTGAAAAGGCTGAGATACAGTCAATGGTAACAGGGTGTAAGTTTTTGAAATATAAACACCAAAGTGCTGCCCCTATCTATCACCCATAAGGTTGGCCCAAAAGATAGTGATTATTCCAAACACACAAACTTGCCAATGTACCTTTCTGTATTTACAACGCAACAGAAAACATTGACCAGGTTTCCTTTCCCTTACATAACGATCAACATGTACCTCCACTACAGTCACAGAGTCATTCAGCACAGAGACAGGCCCTTCAGCCCAATACTTCCATGCTGACCAACAAACACCAAAAAACACCAATCCCATTTACCTATACTTAGCATATGGCACCTGGCATTTTAACTGCTCACCCAGATGCTTCTTAAATGTTGTGACAATATCACCCTCTAAAACCCTCTCAGGCAGCCCATTCCATATTCCTACCACTCTCTGGGTGAAAATATTCTTTCTCAGGTCTCCTCTAATCCACTTGCCTCTCACCTTAATCTGATGCCGTCTGGTCTTTACATGTCTGCCATAGCGAAGAGATTCTCATGACCTACTCTGTCTATGCCTCTCATAATTATGTAAACTTCAATCAGATTCCCGTCAGCCTCCTCTGCTCCAAGGAAAACAATCCCAGCCTTATCCAGTCTCTCCTCAAATCTGAGGCTTTCCATCCCGGACAACATCCTGGTGAATGTCCCCTGCATCCTCACCAGTGCTATCATATCCTTCCAGTAGTGTAGTGATCAAAACTGCACAGACTATTCCATCTGTGGCCCAACCAGTGTTTTGTAAAGTTGTGAGTTCACACACAAACTCACACACTCTCACACTCACTCACATACATACACACACACATACACACACACACACACACACACAGACACACTCACATACAAACACACTCACATACACTCACAGACACACACACACTCACTCACATACACACACACACACAGACACACACACACTCACTCACACACACACTCACTCACATACACACACACACAGACACACACACACTCACTCACATGCACACACACTCACATACACACACACACACTCACATACACACACACATACACTCACACGCACTCATACACACACTCATATACACACACACACTCTTACACATACTCTCACACATGCACACACACACGCACAACACTCCAACACACAAAATAAAAAAAACCTTAGGTTTATAGGACGAGGGAAAAAGTCTGGGAAACACTGTTCAATAGCACCAGCCCCTGCGTTCTGTCAAATTTCTCCCATTGGTTACAAAGACGTGTCATTTGTCAGCCTGCTTTCTTCAGGTTCCAGGTATTTTCTTTGCAGAGAGAAAGACTTACCAGCTGCCTTTCTAGGAATCTGATGATTTCTCACTGTCTCAGTCACACTCATTAGCTGATTCACTGCTCAGGAACCAAATAGAAAGTTGTCATCAGACTGGTGATTTTTCACGTTCACAACTGGTCATAAGTTTACAAACCAATCAGCTACCTGTTGCTGGTTGAATGGCAATCTGCACACACTCCCTGGTGCCACAGCTCCACCCACTGCTGGAACAAAGCAGCTGTGTAAACCACACACACAATGTGGCTCAGACACTCACTTTTCAAAGTGAAGCACTTATTTCTCACAGTTCTTGGTTTCAAATCAGTCTATTCTCTATTTTAGTTCATAATCAAAAATACAAAACAGAAAATTATATAGTCTTTATAGTCTCCAATGCCATGCTGCCCCTGTCCTCGGAGTGTTTGATGGGGACGGTGTAGATGGAGCTTTACTCTGTATCTAACCCCATGCTGTCTCTGTCCTGGGAGTGTTTGATGGGGGACAGTGTAGAGGGAGCTTTACTCTGTATCTAACCCTGTGCTGTTCCTGTCCTGGGAGTGTTTGATGGGGGACAGTGTAGAGGGAGCTTTACTCTGTATCTAACCCTGTGCTGTCCCTGTTCTGGGAGCATTTGAGACTCTATTTGCCCAGAAGCTGTTCATTCAAAGAATTAGTGATTAGATTGTGGATAAAGGTGGAATTCTGTCTTTGGTTGTTTTGAAGATAATGGGCAGCTTCCTGGAACAGAAGACAGGACCTTCCTGGAGAAGGACAGAGAGATGAAGTTGCAGAAACACCTGAAGCTCTCGAAGGGGATGAGCCTGAGTGTTTGCTACGCAGCCAGTATCGGGGGCACTGCCACGCTTACTGGTACCACTCCGAACCTCATCATGAAGGGGCAGTTAGATGAGTGAGTATCTTCTGGTCTTTCAGTGACTCCTTTCTCCAAACAAACCTCCAGCCCCCTTCAGTGGATTAATGCCATGAAGCTTTAGCCCTGTACTTCCAAATGTCCATCAGCTTTCCATTCCCAGCACATCCCATTCAAGCCCATCACCCCAGTAACCGTCCCCGCCAAGGAGCTGGCTCCTGATGGCACCATGTCACTGGTCTCTGCTCAGGGTTTGGAGACGCTGTTGCAGTTCGACTCTGTGTCTTGTCTTGTGAAAGGGGTTGTTTGGATGAAATCTCTGGCCCGTCTCACGCCTGACTCTGAGAGGGGTGATCTCACATCAGGCTGAGCTGCTCGCTGAGGCTGGTGTCTGAGTGAGAGTGTGCTACATCTTTTCATTGTGTCATTCCACTAAGACCGGTTTGTCCGTTGAGGTCAATTAAAGGGACACTGTCTGAATGAGAGTACGGCAGCTCTCAGAGAAGTGTTCCTCCCCCTCCTCCTTCCCCATTGCTAAATGGACCTCCCCCCCTCACTTTCAGCTTGGTACTGTTGGCAGAAATTCACCAAAGATCCTCAGGCAGCACCTTCCAAACCCACGACCACTTCCATCTAGCAGGACAAGGGCAGCAGATACATGGGAATACTTACCCCCTGCATGTTCCCCTCCAAGCCACTCCCCATCCTGACTTGGAAATATATCACTGTTCCCACTGTCGCTGGGTCAAAATCCTGAAATTCCCTCCCTAATGGCATTGTGGGTCAACCCACAGCAGGAGGACTGCAGCGGTTTAAGAAGGCAGCTCACCCCCACCTTCTCAAGGGGCAACTAGGGACGGGGCAATGAATGCTGGGCCTAGCCAGAGACACCCACATCCCGTGAGTAAGTGAAGAAAAAGCACAAATATTTATTGACTTCACCTCAGAATTATAGGCTACCAGCTTCTGTCTGACAATGGGAATGTATATTTTATGTTGTAAAACAATGTAAAATAGGGGTACAATTCTCACGGAAGTGCAGGAGTTGGGAGTATATGTGCACAGATAATGAAGGAAATGCAGGGCAGGTGGAGAGCAGTAAATAAAGCTGATGTTGAGCTTGTATCAGACACTTGTTAGACTTCAGCTGGAGCATTGCGGACGGGTTGAGATTGCGATATTACAGGAAAGATGTGAATCCGCTGGAGGGAGTGCAGAAGCTATTTACAGGAATGGTTTCAGGAATGTGAAACAAAAATAGAAGTTGCTGGAAAAGCTCAGCAGGTCTGGCAGCATCTGTGGAGAGAAATCTGAGTTAACGCTTCAGGGTCCGGTGACCCTTCCTCAGAACTAAAGAATGAGAAACTTCAATAAAACAAAGAACTATACTGGAAATCTGAATCAAAATCACAAAGTGCTGGAGAAACTCAGCAGGTCTGGCAGCATCTGTGGAGAGAGAAACGAGTTTAATGTTTGAGTTCAGTGACCCTCGCTTCATCTTTGATGTCACCCTTTGATGTTTCAGAGTGCAGGTAGGCTGCTAATGTTATCCTCAAATACTTGGGCACCCTCTAGGACAGCACTGACCCTGTGAGAGGCAATGTCTTATGTAGCTTCTCTTGGGACAGTGAGGGGAAAGGGGTATGTGAGGTCCCTATTGTACACCTCCCAGCCTTGAACAGAAATGCTCTCCTCTGCAAGGTCAATGCAGAGAATGGGCCCTTCCTGCAGGGCAGTGGGAATCATCCCTGGTTCAGCGAGGCTGGAGAATGGTATCCTAGCCAGGCCCCAGCATATTCCCTGCATACGGTGTTGTCCACATGACAGTGTCACACTCCGCATCATAGGGACAGATTCTCTCATATCTGAGGTGGTCCGCAGTCTGGAGTCGGCGCTGGTCAGAGCTAAGCAATGCTTAGACGTTACAATCTCCTCCTGCCTGGGGTGTCTGAGGGGGGGGCGGGGTTCACCATTTCCATGTGGATTTCCTCCAGCCGATTGTTTTACTTCATGCAACGGTGCTGCTGTTATCCCTCAAAGGATGGGAAGCTAAACGTGGACAGCGCAGTATTTAAGAATCCAACAGAGATTTATTATAATTATCTTTTACATTATATCACACTATAACTATACATTACATTGAGAGGCACATCAATGTCTAGCCTGAAGTTGTTCCACAGAGCAGCATGCTTCTTGTAGTGTGTCATGCCTTAGGTGATCTGGGGTAAGACGGAGTCTGTGATCGTGATTTGCTCGGGTCACAACATGCGATACACTGATGACACAGTGAGCTGTCTCTTAAAGGCACATTGACACATTGTGTGGAAAGCTCTGAGCTGGTGGAAGGCGCAGGTAAAATTTTGTAAATGCATCCTCAGAAGGTTCAGGAGCTTTGTCCTCAGTGATGGAGGCACAGCCTCTGGATCTCTGGTCTCTCTGCGGAGGTTTGTTGGACACTGCTACCTGTGTCTGTGTGAGAGAGGGAATGATTGGTCAAAGGTGGGTAAAAGGTTGTGCAAGTTAAGAACGAGTTAGCGCTGGTGTTAATGGGAGCGCAGTGCAGTAGAATGGCCCTTACTGGGCTGATTGTCCTTTGAGGGGTCTCCAGCCCCAGATGTGTGTTATACTTTGCACCAGCTCCATTCCAGAGTGTTGTCCTGTTACAGGCCGAGGAACCTGGTGCAGTGTCTGATATAGTGTGTAGCTGGTATCAGACAGGTCAAGGCTAAACAGTAATGAGAACAGCAAACCCTTCCATCTCTCCATCCATCCTGATATCTCAAGAAAGATTCCCAGCAGACAGACTACATAACTAACGAGATTACAAATGAGAGATTGTTTGAGCTTTGGTGAACTGAATGCCATGAATTTCACTCAGCGCTTGAACTGAAAATTCAAACATTCAGATCTATGACTCCAAACCCCAAAATTTCCCTCTGACCTGAGAGGTCACTTCAGGTTAAGTAGGATCAGTCAAGTATATTTGGCACAGTTTAGTTTACAAAAGTCAGTTGGTATTTTACACTCATTCTCCTTTCTTTTCAGCCTCTTCCCAAAGAATGGAGACATTATAAATTTTGCAACCTGGTTTGGTTTCTCCTTCCCATGCATGTTCATCATGTTGGCACTGACATGGGTCTGGCTTCAGATCTTGTACCTGGGATTTAAGTAAGTGCCATTTCTTCTCCTGTCAGGGGCTGGCTGTAGTCCCAGGGCAGTCCTCAGCTACACTGGAGGGGTTCAGGGTTTGGGACTGGAGATTCGGGATTTGGGGTTAGGGATAGGGGTTAGGGGTTTAGGGATAGGGGTTTAGGGATAGGGGTTAGGGGTTAGGAATAGGGGTTAGGGATAGGGGTTAGGGATAGGGGTTTAGGGTTGGGGTTAGGGATAGGGGTTAGGGATAGGGGTTAGAGGTTAGGAATAGGGGTTAGGGATAGGGGTTGGGGTTTAGGGTTAGGGTTTAGGGTTAGGGTTAGGGATAGGGGTTAGAGTTAGGGGTTTAGGGTTAGGGGTTTAGGGTTAGGGGTTAGGGATAGGGGTTGGGGTTAGGGATAGGGGTTAGGGGTTTAGGGTTAGGGTTAGGGATAGGGGTTAGGGATAGGGGTTTGGGGATCAGGGTTAGGGGTTAGGGGTTTAGGGTTGGGGTTAGGGATAGGGGTTAGGGGTTTAGGGTTAGGGGTTAGGGATAGGGGTTTGGGGTTCAGAGTTATGGGTTAGGGATAGGGGTGAGGAATAGGGGTTAGGATTTACAGATAGGTTTAGGGGCTCAGGGTTAGGGGTTAGGGATAGGGGTTGGGCTCAGGGTTGGGGGTTAGGGATAGGGGTTGGGGTTCAGGGTTGGGGGTTAGATGTTCAGGATTCAGGGTTGGGGATAGGGATAGAGGTTCAGGGGTTAGGGTTAGGGGTTCTGTGTTTGGGGTTCAGTGATAGGGATTTGGGATTAGGTGTTCAGGGTTCAGGGTTAGAGACTCTGGTTGCGGTTAGGGGTTCGGGGTTTTGGGATTTGGAATTAGGGATTTGGGGTTAGAGGTTAGGGTTTAGGGATTATGGGTTAGGGGTTTGGGTTTAGGGGTTACAGATTTGGGATTAGGAGTTCGGGGTTGGGATTAGGGGTTAAGGGTTAGGAGTTTGTGTTTCAGGGTTAGAGATTAGGAGTTTGGGATTAGTGGTGGGTTGGGGTTAGGGATAGGGGTTTGGGGTTCAGGGTTAGGGGTTAGGGATATGGGTTAGGGTTTAGAGATAGGTTTAGAGGCTCAGGGTTGGGGGTTAGGGATAGGGGTTGGGGTTCAGGTTTGGGGTTAGGTGTTCAGGGTTCAGGGTTGGGGGTTCTGTGTTTGGGGTTCAGTGATAGGGATTTGGGATTAGGCGTTCAGGGTTCAGGGTTAGAGTCTCTGGTTGGGGAGGGGTTAGGGATTTGGGATAAGGGTTAGGAGTTTGGGGTTAGAGATTTGGGATTAGGGTTAGGGGTTAGGAGTTTGGGCTTCAGGGTTAGGGGTTTGGGGTTAGTGGTTAGTGATTTAGGGTTCGGGGTTAGGGGTTTGGGGTTAGTGGTTAGTGGTATAGAGTTCAGGGTTAGGAGTTGGGGTTAGGGGTTAGTGGTTAGTGGTATAGGGTTCCAGGTTAGGGGTTGGGGTTAGAGGTTCGGGGTAAGAGGTTTTGGGTTGGTGGTTAGGGGTTAGGGATTATGGATGAATTTAGTGAGTCACTAATATTTCCGAATTGTTCTGGAGATTCCATTCAGGATGAAACTGTGGGGAGAACCCCCCAAAGGGTAAATCAGGGGGAGTGGTCTATATTATAAGAATGTTTTCAATGGATTGACTTGCTGCACTTGTTATAAAGAGACTGGAAATTGTGGAAACACAATCACAATGTGATCAAAAGTCAAGATCCCTTTTATGCTGTCCCTGTCTGTTTGATGGGGGACAGTGTAGAGGGAGCTTTACTCTGTATCTAACCCCGTGCTGTCCCTGTCCTGGGAGTGTTTGATGGGGGACACTGTGATGAATACAGGGCAGTCATTGCTAATACAGCGTGAGCTGCGAGGGGGCACAGAGAGGCCACAAAGAGACAAAACAGGGGTCAGTGAGAGGTTTGGAAGGTCCTGATGGGGTATAACATGGGGAAATGTTGCCCCTGAATGTTAACCTGTGGGTACTGCAATCATTGGGGGAGGTGAATGGTGACAGGGGGTAGGGGAACCCGTCACTGTGGACAATTGCACAGTCTGAGGGAGGGCTGACTGGAACCCCCACCCAGAGTGGTTTCCAAAACACAAGGGTTGACCAATGAGGAGGTTGGAATAGATGAGGCTGTTACCCTGTGGAGATTAGAAAAATAAAAGGTGAAACTTTGGAAGATAAGGTTTTGGGAGAGAAATAATTCCCCAGAGGCCAGTATCCCAACACCAGCCAACCTTTATTTACACATGCTTCGTTCATGATTCTGATCCAGCTCCCTCGGAGCTAGCTCTCAGAGTGAGCAGAACCTCCAACACTCCTGTTTATATCTGTCAGCCAGGGCTCCCTGATTGGACCAGACTAACAGCCCCAATCAGGGAACTCCTATTCTACGAGGTTATAATCAGTACACGGTAGCATTGACTGAGTTACTGAGAAACAAAATCAGAAATTGCTGGAAAAGCGCAGCAGATCTGTGGAGAGAAAGCGAAATTAACATTTCAGGTTCTGTGACCCTGCTTCAGAATGTTTTTTTGCTTAGTTTCTCATTTCATGTTTGTTGAGTTCCTGTGAGGTTGTTCCCTTTCCAGTCGGAGATTCTGGAACAGGACCCCTCCCCCCACCCTCTGCCGGAGGATTGGGGACTGAAATCAGGAAGCATGTTGTTAACTCAGGGAGTTATGAATGTTTGTAACTCTCTACCCCAGAGTGTTGTGATTACTGTGTCATTGCCTGTGGTCATAGGGGAGTGATTGACCAACTGCTGGACACCGAGGGACTGTGAGCCAGTGCTGGACAGTGGAGCTGAAGGGGGAGGGTCAGTTGGAATCTTCTTGAATTTCACAGCATCTTGGAGGGGCTGAATGGCTTTCTTGTGTTTCTTCTGTTCTTACGTTAATGTTGGGGTTGTCTCTCCCCACGCTCGCCCTCAGCATGAAGGAGAATTTCGGATGTGGTGCTGCACATTCCCAGAAGGATGCATCTGCGTACCGAGTGATCAAGGAGGAGGTGAAGAACTTGGGCAGAATGACATTTGCAGAGATTGCTGTCCTCATCCTCTTCATCCTGTTAGTCATCCTGTGGTTCACCAGGGACCCCGGCTTCATACCTGGCTGGGCAACTGCACTCTTTAACAAAGGTGGAAAAGAGTAAGTGACAGCTAACTTTCTCTCTCTCTCTCTCTCGCTTTCCTTTTCTCATTCTCTTTCTCTCACGTCCACACTCACCCTCTCTCACTGATATCAGCTCACACTCTCTCCTTCTCACGCCTTGAGTCTCACTCTCCCTCTCTCTCACTCCATCACTCTCACTGTCACTCACTCTCTTTCATTGAACATAGAACATAGAACATTACAGCGCAGTACAGGCCCTTCGGCCCTCGATGTTGCGCCGACCTGTGAAACCA